TATATATATGTATAAGTGGGGCCAGTTGTGTCGGATTATTGGAGAGCCTGCTTACTTGCTCTGCGTCCTTGCAGCTGGGGGTTATCCAGACCAGGCGCATCGTCCGGAGTTGAGCGGACAGGCCTGTCAGTTTCCCGATCCTCGAGTGACGTATCATCTTCACTGGAACTAATACTCACTAGAGATATTCCCCCAAATCCTTGTGGGGGGACTTCCGGTCTTCCCTGGATGACCGTGGTGGACTGGTCAGAGATCCAGTTGCTGCGGCCCAGACAGCAGTTCCCAGCGAACACAAGAAATGCCCACACACAGACGCGGAAGTGGCGGTAGTCCCAGAAAAACTGTCTTGGAGACCTCCCTGACATTGTCTTGCATCACAGCGCTAACACCGGCACTTGCTCTAGAATCGGCTTCTGCCTGACAGGAGTCGGATCGGTTCACAAACGAACGATTTTGCTGAACTCGTCTCCCCCATGGGTTTCGCCTACTTCATTATTGAACTCTGGATGGACGTTTGGCAAAGTTTTTGGTTCAATGATTGAAGTAGAAATACTCGTGTGGCTCATCTGCTTAGCTCGTTCGGTCCTGTTGCGTGCAACCCTTTGATTCCGGGCTGGATCAAGCAACGGCCCGCCTGCTTGTAAACGAACGATCTGCAGCCCAAACGCCGGAAATTTGGAAACTATACTACTGAAATTATTTAATTAATGTCATTCATAGTAATATGTGGCTTATTGAAGTTTTTGGTGGCCCTGGCCTCTGCTGTGCCTGTCGCTGAATCCTGCGGCAACCAGATGATGGCTGAGGACACGGGATTCCGTTCTCTATTACTCGTGGTTTCCTAATTCTTATTCATTTTCGAGCTTGTATGGGATTTCTCATTTTCCTCTCCTTTGAATGAGTCGTTGACTTGACGCTGCCAAACTCTGTTCAGTGCCGCAACCCGTTGCTCAGAGACACAGCCCAGCGCACGGCGGAAGGAGCTGTCGAGGTTGCCTGTATTTTGGCATAAAAGTTGTCACTAGATGCTAAAACCCCAATCTAGTGCTAAATTGCTTGTCTCTACAGCTGCTGCCGTCGGGCCTTCCGCAGACACCGGTTTAAAGTCCAAGTCTTTGTTTGTTAGCCGCTGTAAGCAGCTCGGCGCCCACTCATTTGCTCAAAACGCAGATGTCATTGTCTCCATTGGACGCCCGCATGAATATGCGCTGCGCTGCTTCTTATCAGCTTTTTCCAGCGCAGTCGAAAGCGTCGAGAGCGGGCATGATTAGCCGCTCTCGAGGCTTTCGACTGCTCTGGCAAAGGCCAACCGGATACTTTTTCTCGACAGGATTGCAAGCCATATACTAGCTGACATTACTGTAAGAGAATATACTAATTTACTTGCAGCACGGAGAGTACGCACAATTGAACATTTCGATGCC